CAGGCAATTTGTCTTCAAAAGTTGCAAGCTGTGGTTATAACCTTGTCGTTAGTAAATTTTCTCGAAGAATACCTCATAGTAAAACGGACTTTAACGACATTGATTTCCTTGCGTTGTACTGGAAATGTGCATGCGTAGGTCCGATTTTTTTCGAGCTGCATTCACAAAATGTGCTCATATAAGGAAGTTCCTGGATATATAAGGTCCGGAGCTCCACTGTGGACACAAAAACAACATATCTTTGGACAGTGATTTGCCCAAAAAATTTAACGCTTGCCCACAATGTGTTTGAAGTCACTGAACTTTGTCGCACTAGAGCTGATATTTTAAAACCCACGCTCGATCGGACACTCGCAGTTTCGCAGATCACTAAAATATAAACAAAATCCTCAATGTAGAAGTTATTGCGTTGCCTTTATGTGGGCAGAAAAAAGGTCAATCTTTGTCTAGTAAAATCTTCCCAAAAATCGGTTTCAAAGCAACTATAGTTTTTTAAACTTGCTCATTTCGCGCAGATATATAAATTTTGCTTTGTGTTGTCAAGTTGAACACGCATAACATCTGTCAAAAACCAACGCGTAAGTAGGATTTCCTTCAAACAAAGTTAAAGTTACATTATTTCAAAAACTTCTTGCTGACAATGATGAAATGAATTTTCTGTACGAAAACAACCTACCTAAAGACCTTAAAAGCAAAGGATCAGTTGCAACTTGGCAGCCAAGCCATGATTCACCATTAAGCTATTTTAAGCTTTGCGAGGGTCTTCGTTTAAGCAAATTAAACTTAGCCGATCATTAGAAAATACAGAAAATTACATATAAGGGTTTGTTTTGCTCGCCTCAGTCAAATCCAGCTGCAGCCGTTGTTTACGGGAAAAGAGTCAATTGTTTTGAAGTCACTGCCGACAGTTGTCGTTCTCTACTTCACAGCGAGTGAAAAGGACAATTTGCGTACGGAAAGTTATTCTTATAAAGAACAGAAACTTTTACAGTGCACTAGAAAACAAAACAATGTAATGAAAAATGAAAAAAACTCTGATTACTATTACTTGAGCAACAGAAAAATGATCCTGAGTAAACTTGTTGGCCTTCTATTTCCGAGAAAGTTTAATAAGCGCACAAGTTTGTTCACTCTGATGCGTTATAACAACAATATGGTTCTTTGACTGACGACAAAGATAAAGCTGGTTCTGCAAAGGTAATAAATCTGGGCGTGTAAAAAAAGTAACCGTAACTACTAATAACAGAATACAAGCGAGTTTTAATTCAACCCGGAGAAATCAACTCATAAATTAATCGGATGCACAATTAGAAAAAATACTCGCCTCTTTAAAAATGTTCAAAACCTTTTATTCCACCTCAGACTGACAGAATGATCCATTTTTCCTTTAACATTGGTTGTTCTGAATCCAAAGTAATTTTCAAGCGACGAAAAAAAGCAAACACGTCAAATAAAAATGCTTTACAGGGAGCAAACATTCGCACCTCGTGCATTTCACTCAGAACTCCAGCGACAAACAAACACAGTCAACACACAGAAAAGCCCGCCTTGAGCCCGCGGTAAGGGATGCGCGGAAGCGTGCGCAGAACGTTTTTCCGCCCTGAAGTAGATTACCACATTTTCTTACCCATGGTGCTCCGCTGCGCGCGCTTCGCGCCCGAGAGCTCCGCTATTAGCCCTAATTTAAGGAAACCAAATTAGACTCAAAAATGGGACTCTATTTTACGCACCGAAACGGCCCTATTTTGGGGGCTAAAACAGATCTTTCTGATTTACAGTGTGGTTTTCTTGCCCTGGGTATCGGCACCCCCTAGCTATTTAACACGTCAAATATCATGGGCGCTTTCTTTCTTCTTTTCGACGTAGCCATAGATATTTCCATCGGGAAATTTATCTCAGGAAATTCCGGTCACATGCACCACACCAATATCCCAAGGTAAAAGTGTCCAATGTAACCACAACTATCTAGGTTCCCTTTCATAGAAGACCTAATTCACAAATTGCAGCATATTCATGTGTTACATACTCCTAGTGCTCAGTTTAAGAGAACAGTCTTACCAACAGGATCCATGACAAATCCTCTTCTCTTTTCTTTGTACAGATACCTGAAACGGTTCACAATAAGTTTTAGTCATAAATCAGTCTTCAACTCGGTGTCAAATCTAAAAACATGCCAAAGTAATTAATTGCCCTGCTCAGTCACAAAGGACTTCAAAACTTTAACACAACACTTGAAATAACACTTTTTAAATTATTCTGTGTCTTCACAAAATGCTAGACAAATTTAGAAATCAGCTTGAAACGAACGCACGCGTCTTGAAACGTGAGCGAAGTTTGTTGTTACTTCCGATTGGTCATACTGAAAGGAGGGTGGAATTTGTAACAGCCTCCGCCTCTCCCAATTAATCAATCCATCAGTTTAAAGGGGGCATGTTATGATTTTTTGGCGTCAAAGCCGAGCTTAAATCGTACTCGGAACTCTAAATGAATGATACGAAATAGTTCTAACAGAAAGCGAAAACAAAGCATAATTGATTTATCGCCATTTCTCTAAAGCAAAGGGCTTTAAATTTAAAAAGTTACCCAAGTTTTACAAGTTGTGATCCGTTTCCATACTGGCAATCAAAAGCCAAAGCCGTGACATGCATTTATAGCATTTATAGTTGAGGTATAGTGCAACACAGCCTCCCACGCAAACGTTTTTTGGGGAGTTCGTTTTTCATCCCTCCCCTAAAAACGCCTGCGTGGGACGCTAAGTGCAACACTGAAAATTAGAAAGTGCCAATTCAGCCCGGCTGGCCAAAGTCTGATTCAGCCCCTCCGAATCCATTTGAACACAAATTAAGCCATAACAGCCCCATCAAAAGGCTACTCCAGCCTACGCTGGGACCCATTTCAGCCCCTCGGGTCCACATTAGCCCTAGGTAATTGGACCGTATTAGCCCTGATTTAACGGAGCCGAACCAGACTTAAAAATAGGACTGAATTTTACCCACCGAAACGGCCCCACTTTTAGGCTAAAACAGATTTTTCTGATTTACAGTGTCATGGCAGAGTAATTTTAAATAAAACTGAACCGTTCTCTCGAGGTCTTCTTTGATTTCAAATTGTTTTGATGGTATTGACAATAAACTCATCTTCAGTTTCAAGGATTTTGAGAAGCAGTTGCTTTAATAATTTGAATCGCAGCCCATCAGGTACCTGGCACACAAGCGCAGCAGAGGGGACTTCAAGCAGTTAGATATGGCTGGGTCGCGATGCCAATCACTGGTCTCCAAGATCTCCTACAGAAGGAAGAAAGATATTTTTATGATTAACCTGCTGCAAGTCTGTCGAACAAGGCTATTTGCAAATGATAGACTTTTAGCAGTATTTCTAGGTTTTGGCTGAGAACCGTTGAGCCGTTACTTTTGAGCATGTAGTCACCATCTTGGATTATGCGAAGAACGCGACACCCACACAATCCCCAAGGATTCTCATCATCACCTCACCGTACCCAGAGCAATAGGGAGCTTTAGCAACGACGACGGCGACGGGAACCAGGACGTCAAAAAAGCAATAGGTTTATTACGCAAAACAACAACTTTGCACGTGCATCACGCTTTTTTGTACATTTCTTCACCGTCCTTGCACGACTACGACGTGAAAATGCCAAATTGCAAGTTTTATGGAGGACGTAAACAAGCGACGACGAATCTCTTTTCCTCTCTCTAAACTTGAGTGCGGTCCTCAAGAAATCAACTCCAGGGAAATTCGCCTGCACTTACCATTTTCTGCAAATTGGAATAAACGCGACAACGATTGAAAAAAACGGGAATTTTTTTTGCTACCGTTGCCGTTGTCGATGCTAAAGCTCCCTATTATGTCTCATAATCCAAGATGGCGACTTCATCGATTTTTAGCGCAAAGATTGAGGCAATGGTCAAAGTCTACCTAAATAATGGGCATCATGCCCCTTATTTTGATAACATGGAACAACTAAGTCCATTGTCTCAAATCGTAAAGTTACAAAACAAAGCGGTTCGTGTTATAAATGATGTTCCTTTAATGGAATCAATAACTCCACACTACACATCCTTAGGCCTTCTGAAATTTCCTGATATTGTTAAACTGAACACATGTATGCTTTTTTATGATTATTTCCACCATGAAAAGTTTCCTAATATACCTGTTTCATTAGTATTTGAACTACATAATTACAGTACCCGCAGTGCATCATCCAATCAAGTTGCAATACCTTTATTTCGAACTAATCTTAGGAGATTTTGCCCCAGCATTATTGGAAGTTTCTTTTGGAAGGTTATTCTGCAATGCATTAGAGACAAACCATCTTAAAAAATGTTTAAAAAAGCACTTTTACGCTAATACCTGGCTCAATACTAATGAATCAATATCCCTTTTATAACTTTCTGAGCTATTTGTCATTTTTGGTTTACTTTTTTATTAATAATCTTAAGTCCTTTGTTATACATAACTTTAAGGGGCACAATATTAGTTTATCTAGATGTGCCCCTCTCCTCTCCTTCCAATATACAATGTAATTCAATTTAAGTGTTGTAATTTCTATTTTACGCGTCTTTTTTCCTTTGTAAATCTTTATCTGTTACTATTATTATTTTTCTCAGTTATATTTACATAACTATGTATCACGCAGCTAGGAGTTGGAGGAATAAATAAATAAATAAGTTATCAGCAGGAAAAACACAGCAAAGGATGCCACATGTATACCCACCTTAAACACTACAAGCGAAGACATGTCCGTATTTTGACGAGCTTCAAGAATCTGTTTTTGTTCATCTTCCAAAAGAAGAGTTTGGGGAAGATCATTTTCTGTCAAGAAAATGAAGAAATCTTTCATTCAAGAAAGATGAAAACTATGAAGCTGGTCCTATGGTGAAAAGTTTATTAGGCGACAAACAGCCAGTTCAATAGGTGGATCCTGCATTTCCGTGAACAAAGGCACCAATTCCAGGCTTGGGTTGACAACATACAGTGCTGTGTAAAAAATTGTCCACCCAGCCTCGACCTCGTTTCATTAGGGTCGTTTGTACGAGAGAAAAAAGAGCCGCGGCTTACATAAGACACGAAAGGGACCGTTTATACGAGTACGGCTTACATAAGACGCAAACTGCTCGCAAAAATGGTTCACGGCTTAGTTCGCGGCCTGACCGGTCCAAATGATGACATACGGGAGCTTAAGCAACGACGTTTTTGAGCAACGCACGTCAACCGGAAGTGAGCCTTTTTCTCTTTTAATATGCCTTGACGCTACCAAATATGTATTGCTAAGTATCTTTACTCTTACTGAGACGAATTACCAGAAAATAGGGAAAAATTGCTGCTTAGTAATGCAAAACGGCCACTTTCGGTTGACTTGTGTCGCTTCAAAACGTCCTTGCTTAAGTTCCCTAGGGTTTGTTTGGGTGCCTCGCGTAATTTGCAACAATGGCTCCAAGATCTCCATACATTTCCTGAAAGAATTTAATATTTGATCAGAGCATTTTCCTGTAGTTTTCCTAACCTTTTCTCTTGATTATGTAAGGATATTGTAAGAAAAAAATTGATGTTAGTCACTCCTACTAATTAAAAGGGTCAATGGGTGAAGTGAGGCACCATAATGGTGTCTTGTGCAAGAACACAACATAACAGGAAGCTTCCTCTTGAAGCAACGAGGACGACGAAGACGTCTCTTAACAACTGAATATACCATGTTTCAAAATTCATCGCTCAAGATCCATGTCTTTCAATTTGTCAAATGTTGGCGAGATTTTTCTGGGCTTGAATTCTAAAGGACTGTATCTTAATCAAAAAATAATTTAGAAAATCGTTGCCTTGTGTGTTCAAGTCCTCAACGAAATGTGAAAGGATGCAGTTTTACGTCCTAATCGAACAACGACGGCAAAGAAATGTGCAAAAAAGCGTGATGTACGTTCAGCGTTGTCGTTTTGCCAATTTAAACCTGTTGCTTTTTTTGCCGTTTTCGTTGCCGTTGTTGTAATTTAAGCTCCCTGATAACCCCAGCGGGGAGCGAAGCCGGACATCTAAATACGGAGTTCAAAGCACTAGCCATAAACTTGGCCACCGCGTATTCCACCAGGAGCCGTTGTTCTAAGGTCAGTAAATATGAATATTTATACAGGGTCCTACCTTGCTGGTCTATAGCGTGGCTTATCTGTAATTTAAGCCACTGCCTAAACCCAGGAATCGGAGACAGTGTTGAGTACTGCGTGATGTTTGGAAACTCGTGCTGTAACTGCTCTACCACGTGTTTTATTAGAAAATTACCAAGATCTACACCACTAAGTCCTGCAGGAAAACAATAACAACAACAACCTTACTACGCAGGCGCGGATCTAGGATAAATACTGACTTATTTCCTAAACGAGCGCTGAAGGCGCAAGCTTCTAGTGGGGTCCGGGGCGGGCTCCCCCATGAAATGTTTTGGATTTTTATTCCTTAAAGTCCCCTTTCCTGGGTCTTCGAGTCATTCAAGCGGGATGTTGGCCAGATTTCAACTTGGAAAGTGTTTTTATTATTAAAAATATATTTAATATGAAAAATGTGACCGATTTTCGTAAAACGGTTGAAACCGGTGTGGATCCGCGCCAGCTACGATTTTACCATTTTCAACCCAAGAGTATTGTCTTAGGCTATTTTAACACTACAGTGTATACTGGATACCGAGTATGAACACCTATCCGATATGTGACTCACCACTTTCTAGATCGGCGCAGCGCAGCTTCGTTCGGTTACAGAAATCGCGCCGAAATTACAGTTCTTATGTATGAACAGAAGTCACAGCCAGTCATGATGGTTTTTGTGCCGGCGCAAAAGCTATCCGGTATAGAGTGAACAAAGCCTCGATCAGCTTTTAAAAGGATCGATAATAATTTATTCGTTTACGAAACCATCTGAAAGAATGCCGAAGAGGCTTGACTTAACCCATTCACCCCAATACCCACATACTCATGACATATCTCCATACACCGACTTAAATAATTAGTTGAGAGAATTTGATAACAGATTAGAGCATTTCCTAGCCAGCGAGAAAGCTCTCAGGGGCACTTTAGCAGCGGGGCGAGAAAAGGAAGGAGAGTTTGCAACTACGTCTCTAGAATTTGAATATCTACATCGAAAAAGTCGATGCAAAGAACTGATTGGTGGAGATGACATTAGTAATGACGTCATTGCCCTTGGCACGTGTTTCTCAATGTTTGTTTACATTCGCGCTCGTTTCCGCCTCCCGCTGATTGGCGGAAATCTGACAGCTCAGTCGACGGGGAGTCACAGGGGAACTGGAGGTGGAATTCAAATTCCAGAGACCGTAGTTGCAATCTCTCCTTCCTTTTCCTGCCCCTCTGCCAGAGCACCCCAGAGAGCTTGTCGCAGGCTAAGCACTTTCCCTTAAGTTATAATTTCATTCTCATAACCTTTTCTCTTCAATATGTGTTGATATTGTAAAGAAAAAATTGATGTTGGCCATTTTTGAGACTTACGGACTAGACCTTGTGCAAAAAGAGAAAAAGTCTCCATAACCAGATTTTGGGGTCAAAACGGAGGATTCTGTCAACTAAACTAATTCCTTGTTTTTCAAGACTTGCGGCATACATTCAGCTCGCTCTAAGACGACACCTTTGGAAAGGTACCAAGTGTCCGTATTATAGAGAGTCAAATAAAGGGAGTAAAGTTAAGGCAGAGACCAACTCTAGCTGTCCGTTTTACTGAGATGTCGGTCTTCTAAAGGTGTCCGTTAAGAGAGAGTCAAGAGGATTCTGTCAGTTGCGGAACTATGTCCATATACTATAAGATGCTCAATATTACCTTTCTGCGTCGAGGTAATAGAATAAAATACAGCTGTTGTCCTCTTCTCCAGTTCGTATTCATACTCGTCTCTATCAACCTCTGGTTCACTCAGTATAACCTGGATAAAAAATAAAAAGTTCTGATAACAACTAAACTACATCACTGCCTTCGTATAATAAAAATTATGTGCAGCAGAAGCAATGGTGCCAAAGAAATTTCCAGACTTGCGTTTTCCTACTTTGCTTTACCCACGAATCACTGTGAAATGTTTACTTTGGTGTACTAAATTAGAAAGTCAAGAAAAGAGAGAGCGCCCTAGAGTACATGTAGCCTCTTATGCATGTGTTTTCTTTTGGCTCGTGGAAACTTCACGATTCAAGACATGAAAAACTAAACAGCGAAACAAATGCCTGGTTTCACTGCCGTAAAAACAGGTTGTACAGAAGAATCCTGATTCGTCGAACCCTCGGTTTCTTGAAAATCTCGATAATTCAAACCAAAACTATAACTTTNATTCAAGACATGAAAAACTAAACAGCGAAACAAATGCCTGGTTTCACTGCCGTAAAAACAGGTTGTACAGAAGAATCCTGATTCGTCGAACCCTCGGTTTCTTGAAAATCTCGATAATTCAAACCAAAACTATAACTTTCCTTCGTAATTAAACACTACAATTTTATCCCGAGTTTTCAATACTCCGGATAATTCTAACCATATTCCTTTCTTCCGAGAAGGTAAGTAAAATCGCCTCTACACCATGATTCATTTTAAACTGCGATGATGTTTCAACCAAACTGTTATTAAACAAACCTGAATATTATCAGAAATTTCATATTCCAAGGCTGTATGTAAGACTACCACAGGCTCCCCAGGCATTGAGCGATGAGTGTAGATATAACACCGCCTGTCAGGAGCAAGCCGCCGCTTTAGATCTTCCCAGCCGTACATAGAATGTACTGCCTCGTAACGTATAATCTAAAAGAAACGAGCATGTACTAAGACATGTGAGAAAAGCTTTCCTTTAGCCTGTTCCAGGGGAGTACGGATCGAGAAAAAAGCGCGAAAAGCCGCGTGAGGGCTGGGGAGAGAGGGTCTACCCCAGTGTGACTGATTGCTGAACAGTAATTGATCAACATTGACTGGCAACGGCACCTTGGTGCATTATCCCCGTAACTGCACCCGAGTAAATTTCTATTCACACTGGCCGTCTACTTAACTACTACAGTATTTACTTCTAAGTCCAGATTAGTACGGTGTGTTCATTTTATCTTCTGCCAGGTTTTCTGTGCTGTTCCGGCGTTCTGAGTTTTAGCATAATTATGCAACGTTAATTCGCAAACAATAACAACGACAAGAAGAAAAACAAAAACAAAGATCGATTTCGGGTAAGCACCTTTTCAAGAATGCTTCCAGGTGAATCCCACGTGACTTGTTTAAGATCCAACAATCCAACTGCAAACCATTGAGCCAGTAAATTCTTGATGGAGGTGCTTAAAGCCTGAAGCTCTTGTCTGGCAACAGGGTCTTTCTCATCGTTCAATCCTTCCTTGGTAATAAAAGACACTTCACATTTAACCTTTTGCATCTGCCAGTCAACTAGAATTTTACTGTTCAAAAACGTGCCGAACTGCCGGTCGTAACCGAAGTCTGTGACTCAACGAAACTGAGAACGTTGCTTTGATGATCAGTGTTTCTATACATAAATGTAGCCAACTCCTTTAATAAGGACGACTGATCAGTTCATTTTTACATTGATGGTTTAAGGTTTGGCTTATTTTTATTTTCCTAATGTGACAGTAGTTCTACAGCTTGAAACATGGTCAACTTACCCACCGCAAGTATTCTGAACCATATCTTTGGTTAACTCGCACACTTCTTGATAAGTTCTTTGGTACGACGGTCAAAAACGACAACCCTTGATACAACACGTTTTAGAACAAAGAACACTAAACCAGCATTTTTTCGGTTAAAATTTTGTAACACAAAGTGGAGAAAATGTAGACGTGTGTGGGCGTTGGGGAGTGGATTCATGTGTACAATAGGTGAGTTAACACAAAGATCAATCAACTTGCATTCAGTTGTTACCTAACATCATTTTCATCCGCCTTCTCTTCTATCTTACCAGCAGATCATTTCTCATGTCCACAATATCCTTGACGCCTCCCTGTAGCTTGCTTATCTGCGATAACAACTGGATATGAGCCGGCTCAAGGGCCTGTCGAAGCTTATCTTCAGCTCTCAACATGGCTGGTACTCCATTTTTCTGCTCCGTTAAAAAAAATAGAATAAAAAATCTTACAGCCTGAGAAAACAGCCGACATTTTACGACGCAACCACTGGTGGTCACTGGTTTTCCCGCCAAATGACGTCTGAGAAACGAGCGCAGAAATTCCATACTGATGACGCGTCATTACCCAGATCTGGGTAGTGCTTTTGATTGGTTGAAACAAATTTCCCACGCGGCACGACCAATCAGAGGCACTACCCAGATCCGGGTAGCAACAGGTCATCAGTGGAAGTTCTGCGCTCGTTTCTCAGGCGTCGTTTCGCGAGAAAACCAGTCGTGACGTCGCGAAATGTCCGCTACAAAACTTATCAACAAAATGAGCTACAAAAATCTGTTTTGGGAAGGATGTAACAATCGTTAATATGCAGGGGCCTGAGACAAAGGACAAAATCTTAGTTCTCCAAGAGAATCAAGTCCTTGGCTAGAATATAGTAATCCTCGTTGCCATATACAGTACACTCCCACAAAACAACTGCATACAATGTTCCTGTCTGAAGCAGTCACTTATTTAGAAAGGAAAATAATTGCATGCGAAGAAAAAGAAATATCCGAAATTGGTCAGCCCCATTAGAGAATCAATTAAAATCCCTTTAGCAACTGACCTGAGCTTTTGATAGGCTTGCCGCAGTTTCCATGACTTCTTCATGGTCAACTCCGAGATCACGTTCGAGGACAAGAAAAAACGCCAGTTTTTCAGCCTGTCATGACATGCAAGTTTCAAAATAAACATTTAGTTTAATTTGCTAGTAGAATCTCAAGAATGTTGCACAAGCAGGCATGTTACAGGCGAGCAACAGAGGAGGGAAACAGACGAAGGAGTGGAGGGTGGAGGGAGAGCGACTTAATGGTGGGGACACCTGTCAAAAAATTAGATTTACATGTAAAACCTTAAAAGAGAACAAACCTGGCATGGCTCAGGCTTTAATTGACCCCTAAAGAAGACAATTCGGCCATACAGTCGACTGGATAAAAAGTATTAGCTCTCTATCCTGAACACCCTAACTAAGACCAAAATCTGCTAATTCTAAACAATTTGTTTATTAGAAGCGGTTTTTGTGGTATCCGGAGTAATCTAGGTCAAGGTAAGTGTTATCAGCAGAGCCAAAGGCTGAGGCTGTCAACACTTATCGAGACCTTGATTATTCCAGATATCACAAAAACAGAATCTAACAATTTTTTATTATTAATTGTTTGGAAGATAATAATGACAACACATCATCGAATGAAACTGACACGACATTGTTTTTGGAAAATATGCATTGCAAGCACAACCTACAGATTAGTCAGTTATATGCTAGTAGATAACTAACTAAGCTGAAAGTTGCATGATTTCCAAAACTAACTGTTGACTGTCAGACAATAAGACGACAGATAGTGAGCCCAAATTATAATAACACCCCTTAAACTCACACTATGATTTACATTCCCATCACTTTCATATGGCAGTTGGTAAGCGAAGAGAGCAGTCCTTTACTTTCTGCATCTCTCCAGTTTTCTTCTCAGCTCTTTTGCTTTCCAACTGCCGAGCCACAACTTGATTGACTAAAAAGGGATGGCTCGCAGTCTCAAATGAACATTGTGCCTGTGCTGGTGTCAAATATAAGTTTATTAAAATGATACAATTCAAGAGACACTAGTTGTATGTTTTAATACCTTTGTCATTAAGCCACTGTAAAAGTGCCTGACCTCTTTAGCAACAGCCTGCAAGAAAATTAGAAATTGGAAAGGACTGAATATAACTTCAAGTTCTCCATTTTTTTGTACTGCAAGGGGTGTCCATGCATCCTTATAAAGGGTATCACTTTTGTCCTTGTTGGTGTTGTGTTCTCAGTGCCTTCTTTAGATAGGGTACCATTATTAGTGGGGTGTTTACAGAAGAAAACTCGCACCGGCGTGAGTTTCATACCGGGATGACTTTCTGATTTCGTATCGCGTTTACATGATGACTGGTCATTTCATATCTCGTTATATGAAGGTACACTTCATGTTGATAAAATCCACGTGTGATTCAAAATCGCAAACATTACGCTTGCGCTACCCATTCCAGTCTACTGGCAGACCGATTTCACGCCGAAACGGGTGGTCGTTTCTCGTTTACATGATGCCATTGCGAGATTTCGTACCAGAGTGAAATTCTCGCCCTGGTACAACAACCGGGGTGAACTCACGCCGGGATGACTCGCGCTAGCATGACATTTTGTGGTGGTATCATGTAAACTAATATAGAGCCACGAGAGGGAACCGGAGTGAATTCGTGCCGGCACGAAAGTCGTCCCGGTGTCATGTAAACAACCCCTCATATACAGGTGTATCTAAATCTATCCTTAGAGTGGGCCTCACTTTTCAGTTTTGGGCTTTAAACAGGGTATCAGTTTTCGTTTGTCTCCCACACAAAATTCATGGGAGTACACCCCCCCCAACATTTGGCATAAGGTCACCAGAAGAATCTGTTCTCCTCATTCTAACTGCTGTACTCAACATTTCACGGATTTGAGTCATCCTATTTTGTGATGGAAGAGCCTCAGTGGTGGGTACATCATGATCAGCCATCTTGAGTAGAAGATTAACCCAACGAGATTCTACATTGTGCACCTGAGCAATAGAACAATAATTATAATTAGTATACATAATGTACTCACTATCTATCTTCTCAATGGCTAACAGCCTACAGTTAATTTTGGAAATCAGCACAACCTACAGATTAGTTGGTTATCTGCTAGCAGATAACTGGCTAATCTGTAGGTTGCATGTGCAATGCATGATTTCCAACAGCAAGGTCAATTCAGTTCCATGCAATAGTGTCTTTGTCATTCTTTTCGTCAAAACAATGTATAATAAAACAATTATTAGATTCGGTTTTTGTAATATCCCGTGAATCAAGGTCTTGGCAAAGTGTTACCAGCCTCGGCCTTCTGCCCGGCTGATAACACTTACCTCGACCACGATTATTCCGGATGTCACAAAAACCTCCTCCAATAATTGTTTACAACTTTTATTCACACAATACAAAACATTTTAAACTTTCAAAGTAATATTATCACATTGTGAGCGATGAAAGATTTCTAAGCAGCTATAGAATGGTGTTATTAATTTTTATAGTGGGTGGCTATGATATACATGTAGATGCTAAGCAATTTATTTTATAATTTTATTACCGCAGTACTTGAAGAACAAAGATGATGTGGTCCGCCACCCTTGTCAGAAAGGCAATTTCTACACAGTAATTCTTTATTCCAGCCTTCTAATTGTGGAAGAAATCTATAAAGAATATAACATACACTGGTTTATGATAAGTCACAGAGTTGGCATGATGTCTGGACTAAACCAGTCCGAATAAAAAAAGTAGTTCACCACTGATTGCTAAGACAATTTGGCTCCCTTCCCATATCACAATTCCTTCCTGAATTATGCACCCCTCTTGACTTAAAATAAGCAACCAAGACAGCCCTATAGGTCATAAACCAGGGCTGTTAATACCCAATATCTTTAAAGAGTTTCATTGTGGGTTATAGCAATGGGAACATATACCTATGGCTCTAAGGCAGCATTCACATTTGGTGCCCATGCACAGTGCCCGAGTATGGTACTTGCTGGTCACTGATTTGAACACACCCTTTTTTTAAGTAACCACACTAAAATTTAGTCTTGGTGTCATTGCCTGAAGAGGACCTTAATGGTACTCGGGCATAAAAGGGGGGCGCTGGGTCCCTGTGTGTACTTTCTGGGGCATGCTAAGCTCATGTTTCAAAATGGCGTCTGATGGGGCAAAATGTAGTAACTATGTGCATACCGGTAAATTGTAGAATACCCTGCCCACTAAATATCTAACTTTAAAAAAGGCCTCCCAGCAGTAGTCCGATTTGCATAATAAATGCTGACATTGACTGTGGCAGTATGGAACCGTGGGAGCACTAGTCGTCAGGGGCATAGCCAGGATTTTTATAAAGGTACACACAATTTTCCCAATTTGTCACCCCCCACCCCCCTCCCCCTGTACAACAACGTTTTCATGCTTTAAACATTCAGCTTGTCACTGGGCTTTTCCCCTCATTTTCTGTTAATATATTGTTCCACGAATGAATCATGTGTCGCTTCGCTAGTAACCAACATTCAACATTCATTATTTCTGTAAAAAAGAAAGAGTTCATTGTTTTAGAAAAACTATTTCAGCAAAACAAGCAGAATTAAATGAATTGAGGAAACTTTTGCTTTTTTCAGAGAGTTTTCAGAGAATGGGGGCGGGTAGGAGAGAACCCTGGGAACGAGGTTGGTAAGGTCCTGTGTACAAGGAGGATGGGTAACCCTGGGGCTAGGATTATCCTAGCAAGAGGGTTACCCTACCTGCCTTGTAAACATTCAGCTAGGGATAACTTGTCTACCCGGGTCAACTTTCTGCCGTCATGCATGACCAGTAATCCTGTCAATTTGAATGGCATTATCCAATTTCTGAGCTTAATTCTAAACATCTGGAAAAAAAAAATGTTATCTTCTGTCTACGACGATAATATTTTCCCTTCTTTTTTTGTGAATTTAATGTGTTTTCCATAAAGAACATCAACATTATTTCAAATTTTAAACCGTTACAGAGAATGTCACACATGACGAAACACGTCAGCAAAGCTGGTAAAGTTGGCCCAGGTGCTAGGGTAGCTCTACCTGTGAAATTTGCTTGTAAACCAGAGCTAACTTTAACCCGCTTCCAAGGGGAACCCTTACACAAGGGCAACCCTCTCTCTTTGTAAACAGGCCCTAAGACATTTAGCGGGCCGGTGTCACAGTGATATGTGTATCCCCGTGATATGTGTATCCCCATACACATATCCCTAGTGAGATGTGTATCCCGGGTGAGGATACAATTAACACTGATGCTCATCCATGACACAATAAGGAAATATCTTCTCTTGCTAAAGGAAATGTCGTCGATATCATCTAACATAACTAGTAACACAACTAGGGTCAAGACAGGAATCAAACAACATGCAAAGGTGGATTATTGTGGCGCTCGCAGAAGAGATACACATATCACTGGACCAGCGCAGAGATATGTGTATCCCCTCTCTATTTTTTTACTTTTCGAGTTATCCCTTGCTGAATGAAATTTTGTCAGTCATACTTATTTAACGCGACTAGTGACATATGAATTATAATCACGTTGGATAAGGAGAGTAGCGAGAACGAATGTTTACATCAACATTGCAGCCCACGAGGAAGTAAACTCGCCAGAGACAGCTTTGCGATTATTTTGTCTCGAATCGTTGCTCTTTTGTCGATTGTGTTGCTCGTAATCTTCAATCACTTGTAGTCCCTTTGACGATGATTCGCAAAATTCACAGAAACAACAGAAATAAAACCGACACATGTTTGGAGGGGTGGGGGGTAGGGGATACACATTTCACTGGCAGCCATATTGGAGGGATACACATATCACTAGGGATATGTGTACGGGGATACACATATCACGGGGATACACATATCACTGTGACACCGGTTGTTCTGCGATCTCCTCGATTTTTCAACGTAACTACTTCCAGGTGCTTTTATTTATTTTATTTTTTTCAAACTAGAGAGATACCAAAAAAAACTACATTCATACTCTAGCATAGTGTTTCACAAATTTAAGCTTATAAACTCAAAAATTTGAGTCTTAAATGTAAGTGGGATAACAAAATATGAGTGAACAACTGCATGTTACAGGGAAGTCATTTACGTGTTACTTTGAAGGAAAGAGACCTAAAGGAAGAGAATATTGCCGTGTCCTGACGAGCAGACGCACTTACCTCAGGAATCGCCAATTTCTGGTCAAAACTTTCATTCCTCACTGCTGTCGTGTCGCCGATCACCGGAAATGTTAGTTTACTTTTGAGCCTGCATTAGCAGTCAAGGACCTTGTCACTTATGCGCATATGGTGTGTCTCTCCTTATGCGGTGCTCCCATTTATTTTCTCAAATCATCGAATAAGTCATAGTGAAATAATACGTGCATTTCATTTACAACTGAATTAGGCTGCAGTGATCACAATTTCTAAGATCTTCAGGAGTTTTGAGAATCGTAAATCTTCCGGTTTCGTTAAGTAATGATTTCCTATCGTAACTTTGGAGGCGATACATTTATGTTCAGGATTCCTGATATAATTAACGAATTCAGAGTACTTTGGTCTACTTTGTTTCATTTTTTAAGATGGAGTAGAATTTTAGTTTAAGAGAAGAGAGAATCCTCCTTTAACCTGTTCATAGACCACGGGGGTGACAGCTCTAACAAGGGCTGTTTCGGGAGAAAAACAAATTTATTTCGGGAATCTAGAGATTTTGCCGGGAATCGGGAAACCTGGGAAATTTTTCGGGAAATATGAGATATTTTCGGGACATTGAGCAAAGATTTGATATTACATGTTATCAAACAATATATATACAGTGATATGCACCCAGTGTATGCGCTCTATTCTATGTATTTTGACACTTGAAAACGGCTGAACTTCCCATGATATGAAAAGACCAATCAGCAACGTTTCCAACTAAAATAGCATGAAGTTCGAGTGCGATTGACCACGTGCAATCCCCAGCGGATTGACACAAGAACCGTACCGGTATAAGGCACATACTATCAGTTCACACCAGATCCCATCATTCATTAGTTCAGGGGTATTTTTACGCTGCACGTTAACGAGTTTTAAGAGCACATTCCACTGATTGCATTCTGGAAAACTTGAAAGAAGTACGTAAGAAGTATGTAAGAAAAAAACGAAACTCGTTTAACCTTGTTAAACACAAATGGGGCCATAAAAAGTAGTATGTCTGTGAAGACTCTTTAATCATCCTGATCTCGTCGGGGTCTTTCCGATTTTGCTCGAAAATCCCGAATCCTGATCAATATGCGTTCGGGATAGGAAAATTTCAGATTTCGACATACAGTTGTTCTGAAATTTTCAAATGAATTCTTATGATACCCATACAATGACACCACACAGAGTATACTTAGCTGAAACTGTTATCCAGAGCAATTTCCGGCAAAAACCGCACAACTTGTATAAAATTAAATTGACTACTTCTACGCGAAGTCACGCCAATAAAAACAAGCATAAAAAGGACAATTGATTTAGAGAACCTTTTGGACAGAATTTGTCCTCTCAGATCACTAGAAATAGCGTTTCAGAGCACCAAGATTTCAAAATTTTCTGGGGGAGCATGCCCCCAGATCCCCCTAGTAGTTGGCCCCTTCACTGCTCGCCTGATTCATCGGTGATTAAAAAACAAAAAAACACGATTTTATATACTAAAAAAGTTTGTATTCTTTCTGTGTTAACATGATACCCTCTAAACGAAAAAATAAGTAAGGTTAGATAATTGACAAGTTACATATTAATTAACAAGAAGCTGCAAAAAATCTGTAATCAAAATTTTAATTTTAATTGTTAAAACAATTTTGGGAAGTTAAACATTTATGGGGAATGCCACGGAAAAATTCGGGAGGGTCGACGAATTTTCCGGGAGGACATAAAGTTATTCATAGGACTGTCCAAACAGCCTTTGTTAGAGTTGTCACCCCCCGTATAGACCCTCCCATTTCTCTTTAGATATAAAGACGAGTAGCCTGCGAAAGCATCCGTTTCTCCTTCGCTCTTCGCCGCTGGGGACGTTTCGCGAGGAGGTTCCTCCTCGCGAAACGTCCCCAGCGGCGAAGAGCGAAGGAGAAACGGATGCTTTCGCAGGCTAAAAGACGAGACGTCGTCACGCCACACGGTCATAGAAGCAAAATTTCTAGATCTCAACCGTGATCCTGCAAATATGGTAAAAAAAATCGAAAAAATTCACATGTATGACTTTGCTGTGCATGAATGCACCCAGGAACAAAAAGGCAGCCCATACTTTTCTCCCATCGTTCGACAAATTGACAGACACGCCATTTCATGGCCTCTCTGTCAAGAATTGAGTCAAGAAAGACTGTTGAGATCCGGAAATTTTGCAATCATGGCTGACACGACGTTACACTTCTCTCTATTGTCGACCACGCGCATTAAGGCTGGTTTTCAACTGGTTTTCACTAGCGACGGAGTCGGAGTCGAAGTCAGAGTAGACTGTTCACAGTCCCCTATTTTTTCTTGAGATCGTCGAGATGTAGTGCGTCTTAGGTACCGAGGGGGCGGGCGTCGGGGATTACAGCGCCCCCTCCCGCTAAGTAGTTTTGAGACTCATACAAGATGGCAGCCCGTAACGCAAAATTAAGCGCTCGATCTCGACGATCTTACGGAGTCGTAAGCGGAGTCGT